TTCTGTGCACTCTGTCAATAGTTATCTCCGTGTCCAGTGGGTGATCTAGGTAACTATTAAAGATGGTGGTCACTGTCGAGTGAAGCTCTGATTGTGGTACAGATTTGGGTACTCCTTTTAGTCTGAAGTTCTGCCTGTGGCTGAGATTCCTCAGATTATCAAGAGGCAGCCGTAACTGATGATTTGATCAGCAAGTTCAGTATTAGAGAATGGGAAGGTTTGTACAGACTGGGATGCTGAACTCTGGTCCCGTTCAAGCACCATTACATGGGAATACAAAGTGGATTCTTCTTGTGCAAGATGCTGTATTTCACCCCTCAGAGCAGTCTCCATCCTGTGAGCTAGCCCTTGTAGGTAACTGTTGTAGGAATGCCCATAGCCTTTGTTCCGAATGGGCACTGAAAGGGAGTTCCTGATAAGGAAGAGTAGCAGGAGGAGTACTCACAGTGTCCTGGGGCAATGGTGGCTATGTCCTCTCTGTAGTGACAGGCACTGGGCTGGAGCACAGATCACTGTGAGAGGTAGGGTGCTCTGGGCTATGGAGATCATCGTCCATATCAGTGGAGATCACTAGTGAGCTGGGAAGGCATGGGGAGCGGTCACTAAATGGTAAGAAAGATGACATATTGTGTTCCTCTGACAGCTGCAGGGAGAGGTCAGCGACAGCGGGACTGTCCTTTGCAATGAGAGCCGCATGGTCAGCTGGTGCCATCGTGTGAAGTGCCAGTGTGGAGGCCGCCAGCTGGTGTGGCTTATGGAAGTGATCCATGCTACTACCAGTGGAGGTGAGGAGTGCGTCGAGGTGACTGAGCTCCAGAGGGATTGGTAGGTAACAGTGGTGTGGTACAGTGACCTGGCATGGCCACAGGAGAAGCAGTGGCTGGGAGCTCCTTAAGAAAGCACCCTCATGCCGCCATGCCAAGACCACGCCCCCCATCCCAGATATAATAATTTTTAACAGGGGTTTCCAGAGATCAGAAAGTTATTTCAAAGGTTCCTCTGTGTTGAGAAGGTTGAGAAATGCTGCTCTATAGTAAATCACCTTCTTTTTCATTGCAGGTAAATCATTGATTCCAAAAAGGAGCAACATGTTATCACTGAGGTCTTGATGAAGGAGGGGTGCAGGCTGTTGGACATCCACAGAAGGCTACAGAATAATTATGGAGATGACACCATTGCCAAGAGTGACTAATGATAAGATGTTACTCTTGTCCATGGTGTTATCTCCATAAATATTAAGTAGCCTTTTGTGGATGTCAGACAGCCTACACCCCTACTTCATCAAGAACCCAATGATGGCACGTTGCTTCTGCTTGGAATCCATTATTTACCTGCAATGGTAAAGAAGAAGAAAAGTTACTGCTGTATATATGAAGAGTTACTCTACCAACGTGTGAAATTAGTATCACTTATGTAAGCTAATAGAAAGTTATGCCCACTCTTGCATTGCTTTCGGTAAAGACCTTGTATTTGACTACTTGTCCTTCTGGACACCTATTTTCTTACCCTTGTGTCTTTATGCTTTTCACTATCAATGTTTCCATCACAAAACTTTTTTCTAGCCTCATTTTCCATTGAGGATTGCCTTCAGAACTATTACTACTTAGAAACCATTGTAACTCAAAATACTTTATAGCTAGCTGCAACAGTTTTATTGGGTGCCACATGTAGACTGTAATAAACACCCAAATCCTTTATGTTCCTTTCTCACCTCACGCAATAATAGTAACAATCTCTCCATGTTCTTGATGGCTAAAGTACACCAAATGTTCCACTTTCCTTTCACACCTAATATGTACTCAGGATCTGCCTTACAGAACTATCAATCGAAGTGCTGTGTATTTTTTTCCTTGAAGATGTTTTCCTTTTCCTCTGAAGAATCTCTATTACACCAATGAGAGGGAACCTATTTCTGTCTAATGATTTCTTTGCTGCCTCTTGGAGTAAAGGGTCATATAGTAGAGTGTTCATCTGTGTATTTCTCTGCAATTTCAGCAGTGTTTCTGTAATAATGTTACCAGCAAAGAAAGTAGTAATGAACCAGGCCCAAAGTTTAAATGTAGTCAAATGTAAACTATAGAGTGGGAAAAGTCAATGGATATGCTTGTGGATAATTTATGAATATTGCTCCTTCCTTTTCAAGGTTCATTATATAGCATTAGTGTAATGAACTGAAATGTAGTGGCATGGAGAAGATAGAACTCCCATTCCTGAACAAGTTACATCATTAGGTTTGGTAACCCCTATGATATTTGGAAAACAAATTGCATTGTGGTTTTATGCCAGGAAATAATTTGTTTCCTTTTTTTTTCATAAACTTTAACTCATGGTTTCGGTTCAACAGCTTTTTTTTTTAATTACTTTGTTGTAGGCTACGTAAATTCTATACTGAAGTATTGAAGTATTTGTAAATTTAGACACTAAAATCTCACGAGCGTAACCTCTTTACATCCAGCCATTGGAACAAAACATATGAGGTTTTTAAAAGGTCATTGACCACAAATGGTTGTGGGATTGTCGTAGGGGATGTAACTGCTTCCTGTCAGGCCACTGTACATAAACAGCCGGACAAGAGCAGTGTCGATGTGGGTGTATGTTCTCCCGCATCGGCCGCTCACATGCACTCTCTAGTGCTTGAGCAGTGGGATCTATGACCATTGTGTTAATCGACCACAGCCGAGCACTGATCCTTGCACTGGCTGCTGTGAGCAGCCCTGGTACCATGTAATTGCTGTGACCAATCACAGTGATCACTGATCACAGTTACTGTAGTAAACAAGGCTATTATTGTTCACTACTGTGTGAGCTCTGTGATTGGTCACAATGATCACATGGTACCAGGGCCAATCTCAGCCCTGTACCATGTGGTAGCTGTGACCAATCACAGTGATCACTGATCACAGTTACTGTAGTAAACAAGGCTGTTATTGTTCACTACTGCATGAGCTCTGTGATTGGTCACAATGAACACATGGTAGCAGGGCCAATCCCAGCCCTGTACCATGTGGTAGCTGTGACCAATCACAGTAGTAAAGAAGGTTTCATGAATGGAACCTTCAGACAGGCTTGCCAATTGCTTATTGCAGTGATCATCATTGTAATAAGCAATCACAGTGTAAGAAAAAACTCCTAATCAACTCCCTTGATCACTGCCACACCAGTTATAGTGTCCCTGATTACTGCCACACCAGTTAAAGTGTCCCTGATCATTATTAGATGCTTAATCTATGCTCCTAGATGGCCTGAAAGTGCTCCTTGGTTTTTGGGCCACTCTATGCATCTAGGCTGTGAAAGTCTCACGCATGTGGTATCCCCATACTTGGGAGGCATAGCAGAATGTGTTTTGAGGTTTAATTTATATATATATGCCTATACTGTGTGTGAGAAATAACTTGTTGAAAATTACAACTTTTTGTAAAAAAAAAAATTTTATTTTCCCAAAAAATTGTGGCAAAAAAAAATACTTAAAAAAAAAACAAACAACTCAGCATGCCTCTTACTAAATACCTTGGACTGTTTACTTTCCAAAAAAGAGTCATGGGGGGGGGGGGGGGGGGGGGGGGTGGGGGGGGGGGGGGGGGGGGTATTTGTACTGTCCTGGCATTTTAAGGCCTCAAGAAATTAGATAAGCCCTCAGTATATCAGGATTGATCAATTTCAAAACATGCAGTATATACCATAGTTTGTAGACTCTATACCTTTCACACCGACTAAATAATATGCACTAATTTGGGTTATGTTTACCAAAGAAATTTAGCAGAATATATTTTGATCCAAAGTTAGGAACAAATCGTATTTATTTGCAACATTTTATAACAGAAACAAAGAAATTGTGTTTAATTTTTCAAAACTGTATTCATATAGCAAAAAATAAATAAATAAACAGTGGTGATTAAATTCCTCCAAAAGAACTCTAAAAAAATTATAAAAATGTAATTTGGGTACAGTGTTGCATGACTGAGTAACTAACATTCAAAGTGTGTCAGCCGCTGTGAGGATGGAGTGATCTGTCACAGCTCCCACAGCTCCTCTGTCATCTGCAGTGCATAACCGCGCCAACACTCCGATCCACTGGGCAGATAGTCCCTCTCTTACCTCAGGCAAATGGATGGACCACTTTTTAGAGTGCTCTGCTCCCCGATCCTCACAAGGGCTCTGGCTGGAAGCTGACACAGCATCAGAGGCATTCTCCAAGATAGCTGCCACTGCACAGCCTGAACATACAGCAGATGTCCCTCCTCCTCCAACTGAGCGGATGGTGGAGGACACTGAAATGCCACATGCTAGGATTGCTCAGGAGATTGCCCACATACTTACCCCACTGATCTCGGTGGCTGTGGACAAGGTGGTACAACAAGGCATGGATCAGCATCAGCAAGAGATCCATAGCCAAATGCAAGGCTAGGGGAAGCAGAATGGCATATATTATCAATGGAAAAACAACTCCATCAGGTACACACATCGCTCTCTACCTGGGGGGGGGGGGGGGGGCAGTTTCTACTTGATAAAATAGGAGATCTGGAAAACAGGTCTTGAAAGAATAACATATGCATTATAGGACTGCTGGAATCATATAAACCATTCTCCTTAATGGAGCTATGAAGCCACCACATCCCTGAGGCTCTGGGCCTCCGTTACCCATGTATAGTTGATTGTACTCACCGTGTGGGACCTCCGAAAAAACAACAGCCTAAACCCAGACCGGTCATTGTCCGCTATCTAAATTATGCAGAGAAACAGCTCATGCACTTCTTGTAAGGGTGGGAGCATATCAATGGACAATCACAAATTACTATTATTCGCTGACTATTCAGTGGAAGTTTCAAAACAGCCAAAGTCCATCGCCCCAAGCTGCTCCCTCCTCTACCAACATAACCTGAAATTCGCTCTAGCTTACCCGACGATCCTACATCTATGATCTCCCAAAGGGGAACAATTGTCCTTCACATCTCCATGAATGGCTAAACAGTATGTGGAATCCATGCTAGCTGGTGACTAGAGATGAGCGAATCGAACATGACGAAGTGGAATTCGTTTCGAATATTAGGAAAAATTCGATTCGCGCCGAATCCGAAAATTAGCAAAAACTTTTCCCCGATCGGCCGATTTTCATCCCTTCTACAGCCGGCAAAAAGTGTCCCTGCAGAGAGCTCCGCTATTTCTGACAGTTCTCTGACTTCCTTCACATTTACAGTGGTTGAAACATTGTATCTATTTGTTTCCATTTAGGATACAGATGTTTTTATTCGGAAACAAATAGATACAATGTTTCAACCGCTGTAAATGTGAAGGAACTGTCAGAGAACTGTCAGAAATAGCGGAGCTCTCTGCAGATACACTTTTTGCTGGACTGGAATTCTTCTTATTTTCATCCTACTTCTTCTTCTTCTACTTCTTCTTCTTCATCATCCTCATCCTCTTCTTCTTCTTCTTCTTCTTCATCCTCTTCTTCTTCTTCTTCTTCATTCTTCTTCCTTCTTCTTCTTCATCCTCATCCTCTTCTTCTTCTTCATCATCCTCATCCTCTTCTTCTTCTCCATCATCCTCATCCTCTTCTTCTTCTTCATCATTCCCTCATCCTCTTCTTCTTCTTCTTCATCCTCATCCTCTTCTTCTTCTTCTTCATCTCATCCTCCTTCTTCTTCTTCTTCATCCTCATCCTCCTCTCTTCTTCTTCTTCTTCTTCTTCATCATCCTCATCCTCTTCTTCTTCTTCTTCCATCACCATCATCCTCTTCTTCTTCTTCTTCATCCTCATCTCTATCTTCTTCTTCTTCATCCTCATTCTTCTTCTTCTCTTCATTCCTCATCCTCTTCTTCTTCTTCTTCTTCATCCTCATCCTCTTTCTCTTCTTCTTCCTCTTCTTCTTCTTCTTCTTCATCATCCTCTTCTTCTTTCTTCTTCTTCTTCTTCTTCATCCTCATCCTCTTCTTCTTCTTCTTCTTCTTCTTCATCATCATCCTCCTCTTCTTCTTCTTCATCCTCATCCTCCTCTTCTTCTTCTTCTTCTTCTTCTTCATCATCCTCATCCTCTTCTTCTTCTTCTTCCTCACCATCATCCTCTTCTTCTTCTTCTTCATTCTCATCTCTTCTTCTCTCTTCTTCTTCATCATCATCCTCTTCTTCTTCTTCTTCATCCTCATCCTCTTCTTTTCTTCACCCTCATCCTCTTCTTCTTCTTCTTCTCATCCTCTTCTTCTTCTTCTTCTTCTTCTTCTTCTTTTTCTTCACCCTCATCCTCTTCTTCTTCTTCATCCTCATCCTCTTCTTCTTCTTCTTCCTCATCCTCCTCTTCTTCTTCTTCTTCCTCATCCTCTTCCTCCTTCTTCTTCTTCTTCATCCTCATCCTCTTCTTCTTCATCCTCATCTCTCCTCTTCTTCTTCATCCTCATCCTCTTCTCTTCTTCTTCTTCTTCTTCTTCATCCTCCATCCTCTTCTTCTTCTTCACCCTCATCCCTTCTTCTTCTTCTTCTTCCTCATCCTTCTCTTCTTCTTCTTCTTATTCTTCTTCTTTTTCTTCACCCTCATCCTCTTCTTCTTCTTCACTCTTCATCCTCATCCTCTCTTCTTCTTCTTCTCATCCTCTCCTCTTCTTCTTCCTCATCCTCATCCTTCTTCTTCTTCATCCTCATATCCTCCTCTTCTTCTTCTTCTTCATCCTCTTCTTCTTCTTCTTCTTCTTCATTCTCATCATCTCATCTTCTTCTTCTTCTTCATCATCCTCATCCTCTTCATCATCCTCTTCTTCTTCTTCATCCTCATCTCTTCTTCATCCTCATCCTCTTCATCTTCTTCTTCCTCATCCTCTTCTTCTTCTTCTTCCTCATCCTCATCCTCATCTTCTTCTTCTTTCATCCTCATCCTCCTCTTCTTCTTCTTCCTTCTTCTTCTTCCTCATCCTCATCTCTTCTTCTTCTTCTTCTTCTTCATCCTCATCTTCTTCTTCTTCTTCTTCTTCATCCTCTTCTTCTTCTTCTTCTTCTTCTTCTTCTTCTTCATCCTCTTCTTCTTCTTCTTCTTCATCCTCATCTTCTTCTTCTTCTTCTTCATCCTCATCTCCTCATCTTCTTCTTCCTTCTTCTTCATCCTCATCCTCATCTTCTTCTTCTTCATCCTCATCCTCTTCTTCTTCTTCTTCATCCTCATCCCTCTTCTTCTTTCCTCATTTCTTCTTCATCCTCATCCTCTTCTTCTTCTTCATCCTCTTCTTCTTCTTCTTCCTCATCCTCCTCTTTCTTCTTCTTCATCCTCATCCTCTTCTTCTTCATCATCTTCTTCATCCTCATTCTTCCTCACCATCATCCTCTTCTTCTTCTTCTTCATCCTCATCCTCTTCTTCATCCTCATCCTCATCCTCTTCTTCTTTTCATCATTCATCCTCATCCTTCTTCTTTCTTTCTTCATCTTCATCCTTCTTCTTCTTCTCTCCTCTTCTCTTCCTCTTCCTCTTCTTCTTCATCCTCATCTCTTCTTCTTCTTTCTTCTTCATCCTCTTCTTCTTCATCCTCATCCTCTTCTTCTTCTTCATCCTCATCCTCTTCTTCTTCATCCTCATCCTCCTCTTCTTCTTCTTCATCCTCATCCTCCTCTTCTTCTTCTTCTTCTCTTCATCCTCATCCTCCTCTTCTTCTTCTTCTTCTTCACCATCCTCCTCTTCTTCTTCTTCTTCTTCTTCTTCATCATCCTCATCCTCTTCTTCTTCTTCCTCACCATCCTCCTCTTCTTCTTCTTCTTCTTCTTCCTCATCTCTTCTCTTCTTCTTCCTCATCCTCATCCTCTTCTTCTTCTTCTTCATCCTCCTCTTCTTCTTCTTCATCCTCATCCTCATCCTCTTCTTCTTCTTTCATCCTCATCCTCATCTTCTTCTTCTTCCTCTTCCTCATCCTCTTCTTTTTCATCCTCTTCTTCCTCTTCTTCTTCTTCATCCTCTTCCTCTTCTTCTTTTTCTTCTTTTTGTCTTCCTCTTGCAGGTCACTGCTCATGCGCAGATTTTTTTATCGGCAAAAAAATCGTCCGATTTGCCCACTATTGCCGCGAAAAATCGGCCGATCGGCAAAATCGGCCGATTTTTTTTCCAACTTTACAGAAAAAAAAACGGCCAAAATACCGAAAAACGGCCGACCAAATAGCCCACTAACGATCCGAAAATCGGCCGATTTTATTTTCGGCCGAATAATCGGCCGATTTTCGACATATCTATGGCCTGCATTAGGGCCACAGAGACTTTAGGGCCACAGAATCGTTACTCAGGGACACAGAATCGTTACTCAGGGACACAGAATCGTTACTCAGGGACACAGCTATCAAAGAATCGAAAATTTAAAGTGACATACACCCTTTTTTTTTTTGGTGGCTGTCGTGCACAGTTGGTGCTGCAGTTTGCCGATTGTGCAAAATAAACTGACTTTCTGCTTCACAACCACTATTGTACGTTCAAAGAGTTAGATCCATTTACACGCCGGGTGGCGGTAATATTTTTTGGGTGATTAGTGCATTCCAGTGACACAAACGTACAGTTTCCAGCCAACGGCAAGCTGCAATTGACCGATTGTGTACAATAAACTGACTTTCTGCTTCACAACCACTATTGGCCTTCAATTGAAGCTGCTTCCGCTCCGCCACTCTGCCATTGGACTCTTGATAGTCGTCTCCCCACACTGCTGCTGGGGGGACTTTTTAACATAGGCCTGTGTATGGCCTTCAATTTAAGCTGCTTACGCTTCGCCACTCTGCCATGGGCCCCTGTACCGCCTCCTCATGCTGCTGCCAGGTCCAGAGTATGTCATGGGTCCCTGTACGGCCTCCCATTGCTGCTGTCTCCATCGCCACACTCTGCCATGTGCCACTTTCAGGTCTCCTCACACTGCTGGTGGGTTCCATTTTGTCATAGGGTGCTGTATGGCCTCCCATTGCTGCTGCCTCCACCGCCACACTGTGGCTCCACACTCTGGTTTTGGCCCCGTTACTGCCCAAATGAGTGAAGTGTGCGGTGATTCTAGGATCGACGGCACTCATCTGCATGTCATACTGACTGACAGTATTATTTCTCTTCCCCAGCAGACTCCAAGGGCATTTAAATTAAAGGTACAGTGTTCTGCACTAATATAAAGGCTCTCTGAAGCCTAGAAACCCTTTTAATAAGTTAAATTCGCAGCGAATAAATTTGCATCGAATCAAATTTATTCCGCAAATTCGGCGAATCAGCCGAATCGAATTTTTGAATAATTCGCTCATCTCTACTGGTGACCTAGCTTCTACTCACCTCATGGATGATACACCAGCTGATCCACACCCACTGCAGGATCCAACACTGCTAAACATCAAAGCAGCCCCATGAAACACCCCTCCAAACGTGGATGCTGCGCTGCTGGCCCCAAGAAACGGGGCTACACCTGAAAATATGGGGACATCCAACTTCAACCCATGGAGGGTATGCTCACTACAGCTTAAGCTGTGCCACATTTACTGAACTGTTTTTTTTTTTTTTCTTTTACTCCTCTCTGTAGAATTCTCCAGCTGGAGAACCCTGTTATGCATGTATAATAAGATGTCTAGCTAAGAATTACTAGCTTCCTTGCCAAGACGCGGGCAAAGGGTTTTGTGTGTTATCTTTTTTTTCCCTCCCTCGCTCTACACATCATGGATACCAGCACATTATTGCTACGCATTCGCGTATCACCCATCTGCTAGGGGCATGGAAGCTAGACATTCTGGCATATGCATATTTCTCACACAGAAAAAAGTGAAGTCCATAGTAATATTTGGTTATTGTTTTATTCATTGATCTTTAGGAACAAGTTCAGCCTAATAATTTGTTCATTTCTGAGTTGCTTACTGTACTTGCTAAGGTATCCCATTCTGGGGATAATAGGAGGCTGAGGTCTCACATACCTTACCTGCTCTGTCTGTCTGGCACATGTGAAATAATACCCGCAGAACCAAGACACTTGTGCGTCTCCCCTTTTTCCCTTATCCTATTGCTTGGAAGCATTTCCTCTGACAAACACTCAGCACACCACCTGGCAACATGCAGGTCATGTCCTGGAATGTCAGGGGACTTCGATCCCCAAGCAAGAGAATGAAGATCCTACGCCATTTGAAATAATTAAGGGCCGATATAGCCCTTCTACAGGAGTCGCACTTGCCAAAAAATGATCTCCATCGTCTTCAGAAATTATTGGTAAGTGAGGCTATTTGTTCCCCAGCTGTTGGAGGAGTAGCCATCCTCCTCCATAAATGACAAATTTATTCTATCGGTTCAATAGATAGGGACCAGGAAGGTCGCAAATTAATGATCCATCTAACCATCACATCCAAAGACATAGCACTTACAAGCATCTATGCAGTTAACTTCTCGGGCACACATTTTTTTTAGGATCTTACCTCGTGGGTTATATGTGCCCCTGAGCCTCTCCATATCATGGGCAGGGATTTCAATAGCCTAATGCATACTGCTGAAGAAAAAAATCTCACACTAACCAAACCAACTCTGCATCATACTCATAAACCTACAAAACTGTTGGCCGATACTATCTCTCACTTGCACATGGTGGAGGTTTGATGTCTATCCCATCCCACAGATAGGAATTTACCTTTTATTCACTACCACATGATACTCTAACATGCATTGACTATTTCTTCTGCGCGTCCCTCTCTACTTCCAGCAATATGGGACTCTGAGATTTTCAAAAAAGCTATTTTTGATCACAGGTCTATAGTGGTCACTATATATGACTTCAAGCCCCTTGACACTCCCCCCTCCCCCCCCCCCCCCCCCCTTCCCATGGAGGTTTCCCTCCTACCTGGCAGACAAAGAAGATTTTTGCCATGCTATCCTTAATGCTTGGAACGACTATGCTCTCACTAATGTAGAGCATGTTTCCGATCTCAATTTATTTTTGGGAGATGGGCACAGCGGTCCTGAGAGGCAAAACAATATTACCAGGCCAGCAGTACCCTTCGGAAAGCCCAAATATAGTTACATCAAAATCGATTCCCATAAGCGTGACGGGCATGGCTGGAAGCTAAGCAGTGTTTAAAGATATGGGTAGACCAAAGGGAAAGGATCAAAACTTCTTACAGATCCCTACAATTCCACAAATATGGTAACAATTGAGTACTGACATGATACTTTTTTTATTTGCACTAACATACAATTTTGAGGACAAGCCTTCGGGGTATGTCCCCTTCTTAAAGGTCCACGCAGTACTATTTCACAAAGTTTTAGCAGAATGTTAGAAGAGATGTTGAAAGGGGGGGGAGAAAAAAAAACAAAGAAACACACACAAACAAATGTACACAGCAATAGTTATAAGACTAGAATTAGACTAGAGATAAGGCACAGCAAAAGCAAAGACTGGGGGGGGGGGGGGAACAACACTCACAGAGGGGGTCGTAAAAGTGTTGGATAATGAGTGAGGAATCCCATGTCCAAATTAAGGCCGTTATCTCTTGTATCAAATAGAATTATCATTCTTAGTTCAAAAGTTTTCCTTTCCGGAATAGTTTTGAAATTTCCTTTAAGAACTAAAATATTGAGGTATTCCATAGTGTGGTCTGGTTGTGTGAAATGGTGTCCCACAGGTGTGCAAAAGTCATCTTCTTTATGTTCCTTGATGGTATGTCTGTGCAAATTCATCCTTGTTTGTAACTTCTGTCCTGTTTCGCCAACATAAGATCCTTTGCTACATTTTCTGCACTGGATAAGGTACACAACATTACTAGAAGTGCAGCTGTATGATCCGAAAATATTGAAGATCCCTTTTGAGTGTGACACTTTTTGGTATGGTATATAAATATGGTAACAAAGCTGGCAAGCTACTAGCTAATCTCTGTCCAGGGCCCTACACACCTACTCATAATGGCATTCAAAGACCCTAAAGGAAATACCCTCCCTGGATCTTATCATCCCATATCGCTCATTAATGTTGACGCTAAGATCTTATCTAATATTGTCGCTTCTCACCCGGCTAGTATCCTTCCCAACCTCCTACATCCAGCACAGGTGAGGTTTGTTATGGGCAGATCTGCAGTTCTGCATATTCACAAGGTCATCTTGGCTCTAGAACAAGCCAAACTCTCCCCCAACCAAGATACTGCCATCCTATCCCTCGACGCAGAAAAAGCTTTCGATAATATTAACCTTCAGTGGTTATTTCTGGTGTTGAGGAAGCTGGGGTTTTAGGAGTCAATAAACTTTTTCCAGTCAATTTACTCCTCCCCAACCACATGCCTGGTCACCAGGGCAATATTTCCGCCCCCATTCATCTTAAAAAGGGAACACGCCAGGGGTGCTCCCTATCCCTATTGTAATGTACAGCGCTGAGCGAACTGTTGGCGCTATATCAATACTGTATAATAATAATATCCCCATTACTATTCAACTTGACTATAGAGCCCCTTTCCTGACTGCTCAACTCCCATCCCCTCCTTACAGGAATCAAAATTGGTGACGTCATCAAGCACGCTGCTCTCTTTGCAGATGACATTCTTATTTTTTCCTCGGCAGTCCCCTCTGATGTCCCCATGATTTAAGATCTCTTCTCCACCTTTCAGCAGTGCTCGGGTGTATGTATCAACTTCACCAAAAGCAAAATTCTCCTGCTAAATCCATTCTGCTTCCAAATATGGGCAAAATGCTCTCCTACTTCAAGTAGCCACCCAATATATCACATATCTTGGCATCAAAATAGGGAGGGATCCTTCATCACTTTATCGGCTCAATTTTCTTTGTTTTTTTTTTTTAAATCACACGGGAACTGGAAGCGTGGACCTCCCTTCTCATCTTGTTCTTTGGAAGAAGCCATCTCTATAAGATGGTGTCCTTTGTCAGGCTATTATATTCTTTACAAACACTACATTGCTCAAACATAAGGATGTCCAAAATCTCCACAAGTCCCGGGCACATTTTCTGTGGTGATCCAAAGGCTCCCATATTGCTCTTCACAAGCTACATCTCTGAAGAACGATGGGAGAATGGGTTTACCTAATCTGTGTCTATACAATCTGGCCTGTGGTCTTAGACAGGGTATAGGCTGGCTGATACACAAGTCTACATATTCTAACTATATAAATAATGCAGCAC